GAGTAGGAGGGGAGAAGGAAGAGGGAAAGATTAGATTGAGGGAGAGCAGATTTTCAAAACTTCAGAGGAAAGCTAGTTTCCCACAGACTCTAAGGGGGAGTTGGTAGGTAGGCCTGAGAAGGACATAGAGAACTTGCCACCCATGTCTGTCTCCCCACCCCAGACCAGGTGCGCTTCTGCTGCAAAGCCGGGGCATGGGAGTCTTGACCCATGTGGGCAAGGATTTTTTGAAATTAATTTCTTTCTGTTAACAAGCATTTTTTTTTACATCCCTCCACAAAAACCCCAAACTGCTGTAACACGTTAGTGATTTTTGATCCGAGATAACTGGCTTTGTGCCTGTAGTCTCTGCTGCTGGAGGCAAGGCTGAGGCTGGTGGAGCTTGAGTTTGGGTATTCTGAACTTGGTGGGCTAAGCACTGGCCTTGGCTTTTTTTTTTTTTTAATTTTTAGTTTTCAATATTTACTTCCACATGATTTTGAGTTCCAAATTTTCACCCCATCTCACCCCTCCCCCCACCCCAAGATGGCATACATTCTGAATACCCCTTTCCCTAATCTGCTTTCCCTGCTATCTCTCCTCCTTTTCCCCTTCTATTTTCCCATAGGGCAGGATAGATTTCTGTACCCCATTTCCTATATTTCTTATTTCCCAGTTGCATGTGAAAACATTTTTTTTTAAAACATATGTTTTTAAAACTTAGGGTTCCAAATTTTCTCCCTTCCTCCCTCCCCACCCACCCTCATTGAAAAGGCAAGCAACTCAATATAGACTATACATGTGCAGTTATGCAAAACACTTCCATAGTAGACATGCTGTGCAAAACTAACTCTATTTCCCTTAATCCTATCCCGCCCCCCCATTTATTCTATTCTTTCTTTTGACCCTGTCCCTCCTCAGAAGTATTTGCTTCTGATTACTCCCTTTCCCAATCTGCCCTCCTCTCTATCATCCCCCTACTCTCTCGTCCCCTTCCCCTCCTATTTTCCTTTAGGGTAAGACAGATTTCCATACCCAATTGAGTGTGTATGTTATTCCCTCCTTAAGTCAAATCCTATAAGAACAAGATTCACTCATTCCCTCTCACCTTCCCCCATTTCCCCTCTACTGTAAGAGCCTTTTCTTTTCTGTTTTTTTGTGAGATAATTTACCCCGTTCTACCTTTCCCTTTCTCCTTCTCCTAGTATAATCCTCTCTCACCCCTTAATTTTATTCGCCAGATATGACCCCTTCATCTTCAACTCACCCTGTGCCCTCTATCTATCTATATCTATATATACATACATATAATTTTTTCCCCTCCAACTGCCCTAATACTGAAAAAGGTCTCATGAGTTACAAATATCATCTTTCCATGAAGGAATGTAAACAGTTCAACCTTAATAAGGCTCTTATGATTTTTCTTTCCCGTTTACCTCTTCATGTTCCACTTGAGTCTTGTATTGGAAAGTCAAAATTTTCTATTCCACTCTGGTCTTTTCATCAAGAATGCTTGAAAGTCCTCTATTTCACTGAATGATCATTTTTTCCCCTGAAGAATTATACTCAGTTTTGCTGGGTAGGTGATTCTTGGTTGTAATCCTATCTCCTTTGCCCTCCGGAATATTATATTCCATGCCCTGTGGTCCCTTAATGTAGAAGCTGCTAAATTTTGTATTATTCTGATTGTGTTTCCACAATACTTGAATTGTTTCTTTCTAGCTGTTTGTAATATTTTCTTCTTGACCTGGGTACTCTGGAATTTGGCTACAGTATTTCTAGGAGTTTTGCTTTGGGGATCTCTTTCAGGCGATGGTCGATGGATTCTTTCAATTTCTATTTTGCCCTCTGGTTCTAAAATATCAGGGCAATTTTCCTTGATCATTTCTTGAAAGATGACGTCTAGGCTCTTTTTTTGATCATGGCTTTCAGATAGTCCAATAATTTTTAAATTCTCTCTCCTGGATCTATTTTCCAGGTCCGTTGTTTTTCAAATGAGATATTTCACGTTGTTTTCTAATTTTCCATTCTTTTGGTTTTGTTTTACAGTGTCTTGATTTCTCATAAAGTCACTAGCTTCCAATTGCTCTATTCTAATTTTTAAGGAAGTATTTTCTTCAGTAAGCTTTTGGACTTCCTTTTCCATTTGACCAATTTTGCTTTTTAGGGCATTCTTCTCCTCATTGGCTTTTTGGACCTCTTTTGCCATTTGGGTTAGGCTATTTTTTAAGGTGTTATTTTCTTCAGTATTTTTTTGGGTCTCCTTTAGCAAGCTGTTAACTTGCTTTTCATGATTTTCTTGCATCACTCTCATTTCTCTTTCCAGTTTTTCCCCTACTTCTCTTACTTGCTTCTCAAAATCCCTTTTGAGCTCTTCCAAGGCCTGGGACTGATTCATATTTTTCTTGGAAGTTTTGGATGTAGGAGCTTTGACTCTGTTTTCTTCTTCTGGTTGTATGTTTTGATCTTCTTTGTCACCAAAGTAAGATAATATAGTCTGACTCTTTTTGCGCTGCTTGCTCATGATCCCAACCAATTACTTGAGTTTTAAACTCTTTGTTAAAGGTAAGAGTCTGCTTCCAATGTGGAGAATGTGCTGTCCCAAGCTTCGGGGGTTTGTACAGCTGTTTTCAGAGGTACTTCTAGGGACCTGAAAAGTGTCAGTTCTTTCAAGGTGCTATGGTAAGGGGCGAGGTGTTTCCTCTCCACAGCCACAACAAGCTTCACCACACCAGCGCTCCTCCTAGCCCCAGGACCGCCCCTCAGAGCTGTGACCCAGATCCAAGCATGGGCAAAAGCAAGAGATTCCTGACTCAGCACTGGCAAAGAGATCCTTGCAATCCCCCTCTGATCAGCCACTCGACTCCCCCTCAGTCTGTGGGCCGGAAGCTCAGGAGGCAGCTGTGGCCCACACTCAGGACTTGTGGCTGAGACCTAACTTCTTCTCTTACCACAGTAATAGACTTTTCCCACTGACCTTCTAAGTTGTCTTTGGCATTCATGGGTTGAGAAGTCTGGAAACCGCCACAGCTGCCTGCAATTCAGTCCTCTGAGGCCTGCTCCAGGGTTGCTGAGGCGAACTGCGCTCCTCTCCCTGGCAGGCACTATATACCTTTCTGATCAACCATCCAGGCTGTCTTGGGCTGGAAATTTGTTTTACTCTGTTTTTTTGTGGGTTCTGCTGCTTTAGAATTTGTTTAGAGCCATTTTTTATAGGTATTTGGAAGGGTTTGGGGGAGAGCTCTAGCAAGTCACTGCTTTCTCTCCGCCGTCTTGGATCCGCCTCCTGGCCTTGGCTTTAATGGGTGAGCCCTTGCCCTTGGGAGCAGGGGCCACCAGGATGCCCAAGGACAGGCGACCTGGCCTAGAACTGATAGCGTAGTGCCTCGGAATAGCCCGTGAGCTTCCAGCCTGGGTGAGAGAGGGGACTGAGGTGGGATAGGAAAAACAAGGCAGGATTGGAGGAGGGTGAACCAGTGGCCTGGTTTTCAAACAAGGAAAAAGAATAGTGTTGGCACATTTTAAGCCAGTGAACTTGACTTCAGTTCCTTGTAAAATTCTAAAATGTATTTTTAAGGGGATTGTCATGTCAACCCCTTCCAACCCCTTCACCACATATTCTTTCTCTCCCTCCCTCCCTCCATCTCCCTTTCTTCTTTCTCCTCTCTGTCTCTGCTTCTCTCCCTCTCTTCTCCCTCTCTCTCTCTCCCCCCACCCCTTTACCTCTAGGATCACGTCTACCCTCTCCTTTGGCATTTAAACCTTTTTGCAGCCTGGATCCTTCTTCCCTTTCTAGGCTTTTGACTCCTGCCTCCCATCCACAGCTCTCTGGTTCTGCCCTCCTACACCGTGGGTGCTGCCCCTCTAGTCTGATACTCCCGCCTCTTTGGCTTCATACTGCCTCTCCCCTGTGCTTGGGTGCTTCATCTTGCTTACTTCCATCTCTGAGAATCTCTGGTTCTCGTCAAGAGCCTGCCCAGCCACCACCTTGGGCAGGCAGCCTTCCCTGCTCTCTCCAGCTGGTTGGGCTTTCCTTTGCATCCAGTCTTTGTGACTTTCACTTGAATCTTTTCCCACAGATGTTGTTTGCCCCATTAGAATGTCGTTGCTTGAGGGCAAAGGGCTTTTTTTCTTTCTTTTTTTGTTAATTTATTTTGCTTTATCAATAATGACTTCCATAAGCTTTTGAGTTTTAAATTTTTCTCCCCCTTCCTCCCCACCTTCCTTCCCAAGATGGTGTGCGATCTGATATAAGCTATACATATACCTTCCTATTAAGCGTATTTTCATATTAGTGATGTTGTAAGTAAGAATTAGAACCAAGAGGAGGAAGCACAAGAAAGAGGAAACAAAACAGAAGAAAAAAAAATAGCGAATAGTGTGCTCCAATCTGCATTCAGACTCCATAGTTCTTTCTTTGGATGTGGACAGCATTTTCCATCATGAGGTCTTTGGAGAGCTCTTAGAAGGGCTAAGTCTAATCGCACAATGTGGCTGTTTCTGTGGACAATGTTCTCCTGGTTCTGCTCACTTCACTCAGCATCAGACCATACAAGTCTTTCCAGGTTTTTCTGAAGTCTACCTATTCATCATTTGAAAGGGTTTTTTTTTTGTTGTTGCTTTTTCTTTGTGTTCCCAGGGCTTACCATATTGTAAAAGCTAAATAAATGCTTGTTGATTGGTTTATCAGTGAAAATTAGAAAAGTGGTGTCCTCTCCCTGAGATGAATCTCTTTATTTTATGTCTTAGGTGTATAGGTGTGCTAAATGCTAGACTTTCTTTCCTGTCCTATTGAATGGGGTGCAGTATAGGAAGGGTTACTGAAAGCCAAGGGCTACAGGGACCAGAAAAGGGAGGGAGCCCGAGATGGGAGCTGTTCCAAAGGGGAGCAGGCTGCCCCGAATAGAGATGCTCAGACAGGGCTCCAGGACCACCTGGCATGAACGCTATCGGGAGATCAGACGGGTGGCCTGGGAAGCCTCTGCTCTGGCGCTCACCCATTCTGTTCTGTGCCCTCCTAGCTGGCTGGCGCCACCCTGCTCGGGATGGCAGAAGACCAGGAGCCCCCTCAGCTGGGCCAGGTGGCCCCCGAGCCTGTGGCTCAGCCCTGCAACAGCAACACCTACCGAAGCGCGCAGCATTCCCAGTCCCTGCTCAGCGGGCTGTTGGCTCTTCGAGACAGCGGGATCCTCTTTGATGTTGTCTTGGTGGTGGAAGGCAAACAAATAGAAGCCCATCGCATCCTTCTGGCCGCGTCCTGTGACTACTTCCGGTGAGTTTGATGCAATGACCTCGTTTTTCTTTCTTTCTTTTTTTCTTTTATGCTTGGAACAGCCAGACTTTGGGAAGAGTATGTGGGGTGGGGCATCTAGTGCAGCCTCTCCCCAGTGCAGCAATCCATGTAACTCATGCTTGCTCTGTCTCTTGGTAACTTGTGCCCATTCCAGAGGTGCCAGGGACCTTAGATGTCCTGGAGTAGGAGTCCTCTATGTGGCATCCCCCCTTACAAGGGATTGTCTGACCTCTGTTGAGTACCTGCAGTGACTAGTAGCTCACTACCTACCTCTCAGGGAATACTCATTCCCCTGTCACTTCAATTATCCTTGAAGCCCACCCAGTCCACATTTTCTACCCAATCCAAATGATGGAGGTTGTAGTATACTGATTCCCAGGGCATTCTCTCTCCTTTCTCAAGGAACTCAGCTCCTGTCCCACTATCTTCCTTTCTTCCACAACCACCTTTGTGCTGGGAGACTTTATGGTTCCCATAGATGCACTCTGGAGCTCCTGAACCTCTCGGTTCTTTGGCCTCCCTGGTGCCCGTGACCTCCTTTGACTTTGCCCCCATCCCACTTCCCATTGCTCTGTCTGTCTGTGCTTTCTTAGCCTTGCTCTGACTTCGCTTTCCTGTCTCTTCAGTCTCAATCCTGATGTTGGCCATTTCCATTCCACTATGTCCTGTGCTCTCCAGGACCTTGCCTTTTGGCTTCATTGCTGCATCCCTCTGCCTTCCTCTTCCTCTTCCTCTGCTCTTATTCAGGAGCCATGCTGATGGGGTACACTACAGATTCATGTTAGCCAGCCTCAGTGGGGCCCTGTCACACTCCCCACAGACACGATTCCAAGCTTTCTCTTCCCTACAGAGCCCCACATTCTTCCCCTCAGTTGAAGACCTTGACTCCTTACTGAGACAATTGAGTCCATTTGCTATTAGCTCCCTCTTTTCCCAATGCCTTTATCTCAAAATTGTTTCTTTTTTCTTAAAAACACTTTAAAATTTTTCTTAGTTCCAAATTCCCTCCCCTTTCTCCCTCCCTCACACCACGAAAAGGCAAAAACAAAACAAAACAAAACAAAAACAAAACCCCACAAAACCGGAAACTCATAACAAGTGTCATAATCTGCAAAGCACATTTCTGCATTAGCCCCTAGCTTCAAAAAAAGGCAAGAAAAAGCAAGCAAGCTTTCCTCTGCACCATGAGGCTGTCAGCTCTTTCTCTGGTAGAGGGTAGCATCTCTCATCACAAGTCCTGTGGAATTGGAATGGGTCATTGTGTGGGGCAGTGTTCCCAAGTCTTTCACATTCACCAGTATTACAGTGTTGCTGTTGCTATGTACAGTGTACTCCTGGTTCTGCTCGATGCCATCTGGATCAGTTCATACAAATCTTCCCAGGTTTTTCTGAAACCATCCTGCTCATCATTTCTTTTTTTTTTCTTTCTTTCTTTCTTTTTTTTTTAAAGGCCATTGGGATTAAGTCACTTGCCCAGGGTCACACAGCTAATAAGTGTCAAGTGTCTGGTCTGAGGCCTGATTTGAACTCAGGTCCTCCTGACTCCAGGGCCAGTGCTCTAGCCACTGTGCCACCTAGCTGCCCCTCCTGCTCATCATTTCTTACAGCGCAGTAGTATTCCATCTTGTCCAGCCATTCCCCAGTCGATGGGCATCCTCTCAGCCTCCAATTCATTGCCACCACAAAAAGAGCTGCTAACAATATTTGTACACGTGCCTGTGTTTACTCTTTCTTGATCTTTTTGGGGTATAGACCTGGTAGCAGTCTCACTGGATCGAAGGCTCTAATGGCCTTGTGCCCGATGTCCCGCATGGCTTTCTGGAATGGTTGGACTAGTTCAGGACTGTGCATTAATGTGCCTGTTTTCTCACATCCCCTCCAGCATTTGTGATGGCTGTGAGGTTGTACCTCAGAGTGATTTTAATTTACAATTCTCTAATTGTTACTGGAGTGGCTAGGGGGTGCCATAGTACACAGAGCTCCAGGCCTGGAGTCAGGAAGACTCCTCTTCCTGAGTTCAAATCTGGCCCCTGACACTGACCAGCTGTGTGGCCCTGTTTGCCTCAGTTTCCTCATCTGTCAGATAAGCTGGAGAAGGAAATGGCAAACCACTCCAGTGTCTTTGCCTAGAAAACCCCAAATGGGGTCCTGAAGAGTGGGGCATGACTGAAATAACTGAACCACAAATTTATTAGTGATTTAGAACATTTTCTCATGTGGCAGTTGATAGCTTTGTTTTCTTTCTCTGAAAACTGCCCGTTCATAACCTTTGATCTGTCTCAAAACTTCTTGCCACCATCCCTGCTCTCTTCTTTCTCGCCCGCCCAGGCCGGTCCTTCTACATGCGCATCTGCTCCCCTTTCTTGCGCCTTCTCCGGCAGATGGACTCCTCTCTGATTCCTCTTCTCTCTGTCTGCTGTTCTTTCCTTACTGCCTTCAAACGTGCCCCAGTGGACCCCATCTTTACAAACCTCGGACTCGACCTCACCGGCCGCTCCACACCTCTTCCCTCGACCGCGCTATTTCAGCTGCGGCGCTTGCACTCCCTCCCCTCTCACTCCCGCATGCTGAGGCTGCTCTCTAAGATTCATTGGTCATCTCTCTTAGCTTGTCTCGGAACGCTTGTCATTAGTCCTGACCCTCGACCTCCCTGCCGCATCTGTTCCTGTTGACCCCCTTTCCTTGGATAGCCTTGGCTTTCTGGGGTTTTGTGGCATTGCCCTTGTCTGACCACCCTTCTCAGGCCCCTTTGCTAGCTTGTCATCTGGATCATGCTCCCTAATGGGAGTGGGCCCTGAGGTTCTGTCCTAGGCCCACTTCTCTCTACACCCTCTCTTTGGGTGAACTCCCACGGGTTTAACGATCAGCTCGACGTATCTGGCCCCGTCTCTACCCTCAGCTGCTGTTTCTTTTTTTTTTATTAAACAATTCATTTATTAATTTTTAGTTTTCAACATTCACTTCCATAAGATTTTGAGTTTCAGATTTTCTCCCTTTCCTTCTCTTCCCCCCTCCCCAAGACAGCGTGTAATTTGATATAGGCTCTACTTATACATTCATATTAAGCATATTTTCACACTCCATCACATTCACATGATGTAAAGAAGAATTAGAACCAATGAGAGGAACCATGAGAAAGAAAAATCAAAACAAAACAACAAAGGAAAAGGAGAGCAAATAGTCTGCTTCCATCTGCACTCAGTCTCCATGGTTCTTTCTCTGGGATGGCATTTTCCGTCACGAGACCTTTGGAGATGTCTTAGATCCTTGTATTGCTGAGAAGGACCAAGTCTATCAAAGTCAGTCATCATACAACATGGCCATTATTGTGTACAACGTTCTCCTGGTTCTGCTCACTTCACTCAGCAGTTCATATAAGTCCTTCCAGGTTTTTCTGAAGTCTGCCTGCTCATCATTTCTTATAGCACAATAGTATTCCATTACATTCATATATGACAGCTTATTCAGCCATTCCCCCATTGATGGGCATCCTCTCAATTTCCAATTCTTAGCCATCACAGAAAGAGCTGCTATACACATTTTTGTACATGTGGGTCCTTTTCCCATTTGTATGATCTCTTTGGGATACAGCCCTGCAAATGCTATTGCTGGGTCAAAGGGCATGCACATTTTTATAGCCTTTTGGGCATAGTTCCAAATTGCTCTCCAGAATGGTTGGATCATTTCACAACTCCACCAACAATGCATTAGTGTTCCAATTTTCTCACATCTTCTCCAACATTTATCATTTTCCTGTTTTGTCACGTTAGCCAATCTGATAGGTGTGGTGTGGTACCTCAGAGTTATTTTGATTTGCATTTTTCTAATCAATAGTGATTTAGAGCATTTTTTCATATGACTATAGAGAGCTTTAGTTTCTTCCTCTGAAAACTGCCTGTTCATATCCTTTACCATTTATCAATTGTGGAATGACTTGTATTCTTATAAATTTGACTTAATTTTCTATATATTTTAGAAATAAGGCCTTTAGCAGAGACACTGGTTGTAAAAATTCTTTCCCAGCTTTCTGCTTCTCTTCTAATCTTGGTTGCATTGGCTTTGTCTGCGCAAAAGCTTTTCAATTTAACGTCATCAAAGTTACCTGTTTTGCATTTCATAATGTTCTGTATTGCCTGTTTGGTCATGAATTCTTCTGTCCTCCATAGATCTGATAGGTAAACTGTTCCTTGCTCTCCCAGTTTGCTTATAGTATCAGTCTTTATATCTCAATCCTGTACCCATTTTGACTTTGTCTTCATATATAGTGTGAGATGTTGGTCTGTGCCTAGATTCTGCCATACTCTTTTCCAGTTTCCCAGCAGTTTTTGTCAAATAGTGAGTTCTCCGAACTTCTTCTTGTAGCACCCGTCGCCTCTTAGGCATTTCAGATGGGATAGCTATCCCAGGGGCATCTGAAACTTAATGTAGCCAGAATTGAACTCGTTATCTTTCCCCCTCAAACCTGCCCGTCTTCCAAACTGTACTGTATCTTTGAAAGCCATTTGTCTTCATGACAACCTTTACCCCCCTTGTACAGATGAGGAAACAGCCTCTCCCAGGGTTATATAGCTGGTAGCACTCTGTCCATGGTGGTGTCTAGGGGCAGGGATGGATGGGTGCTCAAGGACCCGCCCCTCTGGGGGGAGGGCTGCTCTTCCACCTGTGCTGTCCACCTTTCACCCAACCGTGACTCCAGGCAGCTTCAGCGTATGCAGCGGCCATACCCCGGTAAACCATCTTGGCAGACAGGTTCAGCTGGGCTAAGGGGAACTGACAGGACTCGCACCCGGTGGTGAGTTAGTGGGGTGTCTACCCCAAGCAGGTGAAGACTTTCCCTGGTAGAATGGGTGGGTGAGAACGGTTTGTTCCAGTGGTCACAGAGGCGGCTGAAGCAGGCGCTGGGGGTAGCTTAGAGCTTGGTCAGACAGTGAAGACTGTCGGCCGCCGCATCCCAGGCCGTCGTCCTGCCCCTCTGGAGCAGAGGGTGAGGCCGACGGCTCTGTGCTGCCCTGCCTCGCTTCAGTCCGGTGCGTGGGCCAGCCGGGACGTCACCCTTGACGCCCATGGTCTGTGGCTATCGGTTCGGTCTCCCGGGTTCATGACCCTGCATTCTCCTTGACTCCTCACTCTGCCTCCCCCATGTCCAGTCAGTTGCCAAATCATTCTGTTTCTGCTCTGACAGCATCTCCCACCTGACCGCCTTGGGTCCATAAATGTCTGCACGGTAAAGTATGGCGTGGGTCCACAGGCTCTCCTGCTTGGCTGTATGGGGCTCATTGCCAGCCATGGTCCTTGCCATGTGGAGGTCACCCACAGATCTGTCAGCAGAGCTGCCACTATAGCAGGTCCTCCCAAGCCGGTGACAGAATGTGGCTCTGCCAACCATGGCCTGGCCTGGCTCAGGGGAGCGAAGGCTGGCCCCAAGGGTGGTACCTTTGGGTAGATGCTCGTGTGGCCTCCCTCCTCTTCGCACAGTCCAGTCCAGTCCTGGCCACCGAGTCACCTTGGGCGACATTCTGTCGACTCAAGCCCACCCAAAGTCCATCCCTTCCCATCTGATCTTGGTGGTGCCTTTAGGAATTTCCAGACTGGGCCATTTGGTCTCCGGGCCCCTTTCCAGATGGCCCTTTGTCCCCTTCTCGTCTGGGTCCTCGGGTATAGGGCGTGTGGCCTTCACCTCCTCTTCCTTTGTGTCTTCGTGTTTCAGAGGCATGTTTGCCGGAGGACTGCGGGAGATGGAGCAGGAAGAGGTCCTGATCCACGGCGTTTCCTATAACGCCATGTGCCAGATTCTGAATTTCATTTACACTTCGGAGCTGGAACTCAGTCTGCACAATGTCCAGGAGACCCTGGTGGCTGCCTGCCAACTTCAGGTGAGACCCTGGGCTGGGAGCAGGGGCAAGCCCTGTGCCCGGGCAGGGCACCGGGGGTGGCAGGGATGGCCGGCATTGCAAAGGAGCAAAAGGGAGCGACAGAAGAAGCGAGGCCTTCGTGCCAGTGGCTTTGACCTCAGGGCTTTCCTTGGCATTGGCATGGGTTCCTAGACCCCACTTTGGGCCCTGCACTCACCCTGAGCCCTTTCTTCTCTGGACTCTCTCCCTTTGCCGATAGCTACGCACACGCTTCTGTTATCTGTGCTTGACGCTGCCGCTGCAGCTGCCTCCTGCCGTTTCTTCTCCCTCACTGCCAGTGGCGTTTGTCCCCATCGCTCCTTGTGATCTTCCTTCAGTCCTTTCTGCTCTGCTGACACTGTCTGCCGGCTCATCCTCGGGGGGCTTGCCTCTTCTCTGCCCTCATTGGCTTTTAATACCGTGGACCAGCTCCTGCTGGGAAACTCTTTCCCTCCTTCATTTCCGTAACACTCCTATTGGGATTGCCTCCCGCAGCTGCGGCTCCATCCTCCTCACTGGTTCAGTTTGCTGTGGTGGTCATCCACGTTCCCCCTGTGTCGATTCACGCACGTGTGCGGGTATCCTCTTTGCCTCTGGCTCTGTGTCTCTGTCTGTGTCTCTGTGTGTCTTTGTCTCTTTGTCTCTGTCTCTGACTCTGTGTCTCTGTCTCTGACTCTGTCTCTGACTCTTTGTCTCT